CAGTCCAACAATAAAATCTTTTGTCAATTTGTTACCTTTACACCATTTTTCTACCAAATCTAATGCACAATCCTTAGAATCGGTCACTCTCCTAAAATTATTACACATAATACTAATTTTTAAATATATTTGTTATAGTAAGTGCAAAAGTATTAAAAGTAAATAATTTTGAATTACTTCTAAACTTTTAGTTTAACGCGAATTTGAAAACCAATTTAATCCCTTTAACAAGTACTATAAAAAAATAATTTGTATCTATCCAACAAATAAATAAATACTTACTTACAATACCTTTCCTTAGAAAAATATGGCTCAGGTATCTCTTTATGTTGGGCTTCCTTCATACAAGAAAACATATTTTCTTTAACGGAACGATTTCGTTCCTGAATAAAATATGCCAAGCAATCCAATCCTTCCATACATTTTGTTAATTCTGAAATTGTAATTTATGAAAGAAGGTAAAAGGAATAAGAATAAAAATCCTCGGAGAAATGTCCATGATAACACTGGCGTACATTTTTAATTTCAAACGAAAAATATAAAGTTTTTGAAACAGCGCCGCGTTGCTTTATGCTAAATAAAAAATTATCGATAAGACCACTTACCATTTAATAATGGTACCAATTCGTGACAACCATAATGAAGCATAGCAGTTATAGAATCAGCCAAATAATCGGTCAAAAACTTCTCCTCTTTTCTTTCACAAACGTTTATTTTATTTTTGGCTTCATCAAAACAAGACCGTAATTTTAGAATTTTTTCAGGACAAACTTTTGATGGTAATTCCATTTCTGCAGGTAAAGGAATTGCCTCAAGACATTTTTTCAAATCTTCGGTATTTTTCTAAAATAAATCGAAAGATTTTAAAATGCCGAAAAGACGCTAAATTTCTTGTTGTTTACCTCCAATTCCTCAAATGCATTCTCCCCGCCATTTTCAACGCAAATTTCCTTAACCCTCTCTAATCTGTGGTCAAAATAAATACTAGTAATAGCTTCCAAAAAGGGATGTCCCGAAAATGTGTTATTTGAATTAACATTCAAGATATTTTGTATAATTTCATTTCCAAAAGCAAATCCTAAAATTATCGGTTTATCATTAGGTACCCATTTTTTTTTTTAATACACCATGGAAACTCACCGTTAAGGAAAAATAAAAAAAGAAATCTCTTCATTATATATTTTGAAATAAAATTTGTACAAGAAGAAGATACTTTCGCGTGCTACTATGTTTGTCGTCAGTGTTTCAAAGAAATATTCTACCATTTAAAAATTAGATCCTTAATAAGATAAGTGACTTTTTAAGTACATCTTAAATTGGAAAATTGTTTCGTGTAAATGTAACCACGTGAATCAGTAAATGCTGTTATTGTGATAGACATTTAACTATCCTGCAAAACGGAGCATTTTTAAGGCACTATTACGTAGTAAAAAAGTTTAGCATAATTGTTTCTCAACAAAAGCAAAAATGGATTTATTGTTAATTAAAACCAACTCATCTATTAACGGTTTTATTTAAAGTTGATGCACTTTACATTATTCCCCTTTAAATTTTAAATGAAATTTTGCTTATATTTATACAATACAAATTCACAGTTGTATGTGAATGAGGCCTAAAACTAAACCGTACATGTTAATTTACATTTCAAATAAAAAATACGAAGTTAACCTTTTATTTTCACAGTAATTACTTCATACCATCTTCTTATTTATACAGACTTCATAATAACAATGATGAGATACTTCTTTGTGATAAACAGTCGAAAAAGTTTGTGTGTTACATTGTATAAGCGAAGCACAATAACTAGAAAAGTATCATATTACCTATGCATACTAACTGTATGAATACGAAAACCTCCATTCCTACCTCGAGTTTTTAATAAATCAACTTATAAAAGTAACTAGCTCTCAGTCCTTAAATGCTTTTGACTGGTAAAATTAGAAGTAGCTCTAATACTATCCAAATAGTAGGTAGAACATGAACTTCAAGACCACCAACGAGACCAAGACAGCTACAGGTATGTATAGTCCCACTTCTAGTTCCATTAACACCTTGAACACATCAAACGACAGCCATATATTGATTTAGATTTTTGTTAGTTCCTTGGGCTTACTTTTTAATAGGCGATGTTGTATTTCTGCATAAAAGTCTCTTGTATACAAACAGTGGCCATTTTTTTGTAACATTCCACAACACCAAATATATTCATTTTTAAAATCTATTAATATGCTATTGTTTACTTCACAATCAGTAACCGAATGATGTAATTCAATATTTAAATCCTTCTTTTTCAAATTGCATTCGACTCCAAAGCTGAATAAAAGCGCATTATTATTTGCATCACTTCCAAAACACGATTAAATTCGCAGCAGTATATATGAATGCACCTTACCTAAAACAGTAATAATAACACTAAAAATAAAATTGCTACTTCGAAAAAGACCTCTTGCGACTTATGCTCTCCTAATACAATAGTTGAAATTTATGAAAATTTTCGGTTTTGGGCCAAATACGAGGGTTAGTCAAAAAATAATTGGAAAATCAAAATTGAAAAAGACCTCTTGCGACTTATGCTCTCCTAATACAACAGTTGAAATTTATGAAAATTTTCGGTTTTGAGCCAAATACGAGGGTTAGTCAAAAAGTAATTGAAAAATCAAAAATTGAAAAAGACCTATTGCGACTTATGCTCTCCTAATACAAATTTTCGAATTTAACAAAGTTTTCTGTTTTGCGTCATATACGGGGGCTGGTCAGAAAGTTAACCAAATTTCAAAAAACAACCTGATTTTTCTATTACTTTTTGACTAACCCTCGTATATGACACAAAACAGAAAATTTTGTTAAATTCGAAAATTTGTATTAGGAGAGCATAAGTCGCAATAGGTCTTTTTCAATTTTTGATTTTTCNGTATTTTAAGATTAATTAAATTCATCATTCCATGCGTAAAATATGTAGAATCAAATCTACAAGTAGATTCAAAAATGGACGTCAGTTAAATGAAATATACCCACTGGAAGTAAAACACTGTGCTTGCTTATTTTTGAGAGATTCTTTTCTCTTATCCTCTTGATCCATGATCTTATAATAAGGCAACTTAATTCCAAAAATGACATGGACTTTAAATCTGCAAATAGTTTTGCAATCCAACCAATAAAAACAAAGCCATGTCTACAAAGGTATTATATGTACTGTTATTTCAAATCATTAAATCTACTTGTGCAAATTTTTACAATACAAATTCACAGTTGTATGTGAATGAGGCCTAAAACTAAACCGTACATGTTAATTTACATTTCAAATAAAAAATACGAAGTTAACCTTTTATCTTCACAGTAATTACTTCATACCATCTTCTTATTTATACAGACTTCATAATAACAATGATGAGATACTTCTTTGTGATAAACAGTCGAAAAAGTTTGTGTGTTACATTGTATAAGCGAAGCACAATAACTAGAAAAGTATCATATTACCTATGCATACTAACTGTATGAATACGAAAACCTCCATTCCTACCTCGAGTTTTTAATAAATCAACTTATAAAAGTAACTAGCTCTCAGTCCTTAAATGCTTTTGACTGGTAAAATTAGAAGTAGCTCTAATACTATCCAAATAGTAGGTAGAACATGAACTTCAAGACCACCAACGAGACCAAGACAGCTACAGGTATGTATAGTCCCACTTCTAGTTCCATTAACACCTTGAACACATCAAACGACAGCCATATATTGATTTAGATTTTTGTTAGTTCCTTGGGCTTACTTTTTAATAGGCGATGTTGTATTTCTGCATAAAAGTCTCTTGTATACAAACAGTGGCCATTTTTTTGTAACATTCCACAACACCAAATATATTCATTTTTAAAATCTATTAATATGCTATTGTTTACTTCACAATCAGTAACCGAATGATGTAATTCAATATTTAAATCCTTCTTTTTCAAATTGCATTCGACTCCAAAGCTGAATAAAAGCGCATTATTATTTGCATCACTTCCAAAACACGATTAAATTCGCAGCAGTATATATGAATGCACCTTACCTAAAACAGTAATAATAACACTAAAAATAAAATTGCTACTTCGAAAAAGACCTCTTGCGACTTATGCTCTCCTAATACAATAGTTGAAATTTATGAAAATTTTCGGTTTTGGGCCAAATACGAGGGTTAGTCAAAAAATAATTGGAAAATCAAAATTGAAAAAGACCTCTTGCGACTTATGCTCTCCTAATACAATAGTTGAAATTTATGAAAATTTTCGGTTTTGAGCCAAATACGAGGGTTAGTCAAAAAGTAATGGGAAAATCAAAATTGAAAAAGACCTCTTGCGACTTATGCTCTCCTAATACAAATTTTCGAATTTAACAAAATTTTCTGTTTTGCGTTATATACGAGGGCTGGTCAAAAAGTTATAGAAAAATCAATTTTCAAAAAACAACTTGAATTTTCCATTACTTTTCGACCAACCTTCGTATTTGGATCAAAACTGAAAATTTTCATAAATTTCAACATTTGTATTAGGAGAGCATAAGTTGCATCGGGTCTTTTTCAA